ATTAGAAGTATGAATTCAGCAAAGTTGCAGGATACAAAATCAACATGAAAAATAATTTGCATTTCTATATATACTAGCAATAAACAATGTGAAAAGGAAATTAAGAAAATATTACCACTTACCAATAACATCAAAAAATATGAAATACTTAGAAATAAATCTAACCAAGGAAGTAAAAGACTTATACACTGAAAGCTACAAAAAGTTACTAAAAGAAATTAAAGACACAAATAAACGTAGACATTCTGTGTTCATAGGCTGGAATACTTAATATTGTTAAGATATCCATACTGGCCAGGTGCAGTGGCTCACACCTATAATCCCAGCACTTTGGGAGGCTGAGGTACGAGGAATGCTTGAGGTCAGTAGTTCAAGACTAGCATGGACAACATGCTAGCAAGACCCTGATTGTAACAAATAAAAAATTTAGCTGAGCACAGTGGCATGCGCCTATAGTTCTAGCTATTCAGGAGGCTGATGGAGGAGGATCACTTGAGCCCAGGAGTTCAAGCTTACCCAGGAGTTCAAGGTTGCAATGATCTATGATTGTGCCACTGCACTCCAGCCTGGGTGACTGGCTACATAAAACTCTGTCTCTAAAAAATTAAACAAGAACAAAAAAAAATGATGTCCACGCTACTGAAAGTGATCTACAGATTCAATACAAGCCCTATCAAAATTCCAATGGCAGTTTTTGCAGAAATGAAAAAAATTTATCCTAGAATTCATATGGAATCTGAAAGGACCCCAAATAGTCAAAACAATTTTTTAAAAAAGAAAGTTGAAGTGCTCAGATTTCCTGCTTTCAAGACATCTTACAAAGTTACTGTAATCAAAGCAGTGTGATACTGGCATAACGACAAACAGACCAATAAAACAGAATAGAGAGTCCAGAAATAAACCCTTGCATTGGTCCAGTGATTTTTGACAGGGTGCTGATACTATGTGTTGGAGAATGAACAGTCTCTTCACCAAATGGTGATGGGAAAACTGCATATACACATGCAAATGAATGAAGTTAAACCATTATCTTACGCTATATGCAAAAATTAACTTAAATGGATTAAAGACCTACCCATAAAAACTAAAATTATCAAACTCCTACGAGAAAACACAGGGAAAACCTTCATGATATTGCACTTTGCAATGATTTATTGGATATGTCACCAAAAGCACAGGCAATAAAAGCAAAAATAGACAAATGAGAGTAGTATATCAAACTTCAAAATGTTCCTGTATCAAAGGATACAATCAACAGAGTGAAAGGGCAACTTATGGAATGGAAAAACTTGCAGATCATTCAGGGGTTTGCTATGGTTTGAAAGTCATGTTTAAATTTAGTCGTCATTGTAACAGTGTTGAGAAGTGGTAACTTTAAGAGGTTAGATTAGGACATGAGAGCTCTGGCCTCATGAATGGATTAGTGGAGTTATCACAGGAGTGAATTAGTGGACTATTTACAAAAGGCATGAGTTTGGCCTGATTTCCCCTTTCTGTCTCATGTGCTTGCTTCCACCATGGGATGATCTTTGCCAGGTGGTGACACCATGCTCTTGGACTTCCAAGCCTCCAGAAGAACTATGAGCCAAGTAAACTTCTGTTCTTTATAAATTACATGGTCTCAGGTATCCTGTTATAGTTCAGAAAATGGACTAAGATGGAATTAATGTCCAAAATATATAAAGAACCCCTAAACTCAACAACAGAAAATCAAGTAACTCAATTAAATAATGAACAAAGGACCTGAATAGACATTGCTCCAAAGATGATATACAAATGGCCAACAAACATATAAAAAAAGCTCTACTTCACTAATCTCTAATAATCAGAGACACACAAATCAAGACCACAATTAGATATCATCTAAGATAGCTGCTATCAAAATAACAGAAAATAACAAGTGTTGGTGAGGACGTGGAGAAACTGGAACCCATGCGCACTTTACCGGGATTGTAAAACAAAGCAACTGCTAGGAAAAAGAATGGAGGTTCCCTACAAAATTAAAGGTAGAACTACCATATGATCCAGCAATCCTACTTCTTGGCACATATCCGAAAGAACTCAAAGCAGAGACTTGAAGAGATAATGACACAATCATGTTCATAATAGCATTATTCATAATAGCCAAGAGGTGGATGCAGCCCAAAATGTCCATCAACAGATGAATGGATAAACAAAATGTATACACATGCAATGGAATGTTATTCAGCCTTAAAAAGGAATGAAATCCCGCCACATGCTACAACATGGATGAACCTTGAGGACAATATGCTAAGCGAAATAAGCACGTCACAAAATGGTAAGTACTATATGATTCTACTTATATGAGGTATCTAAATTAAAGTAGTCAAATTCATAGAAGCAGGAAGTAGAGTAGTGGTTGCCAGAGGCAGAGGGGAATAGGGAGAAGGGAATTGTTAAATAGATACAGAGTTTCAGATTTGCAAGATGAAACAGTTCTGGAAATCTGTTTCACAACAATGTGAATATACTTAACACTACTGAATGGTACACTTAAAAATGATTAAGATAGTAAGTTTTATGTTATGGGTTTTTACTACAATTTTTAAAGAAGTTTTTTAAAAAAGGCACAGGGAAGGGATGGCCTCTCTCTCAATCTGTGAATATTTTTCTGTGCAGACATAGGTCTAAAATCACTACAGCCCTCCTATTATGACAAGGGAATATGAGACAGGAAAAGCAAAAATGTGTCCTGGGTCTTTGAGCCCTTGATTCAACTAACCTTGGAGCTACTCTACCTTAGGTCTTATTGTTATGTGACACAGCAATTGTTTCTTACTGCTTAAGCCACTGTATTTTCTGTTGAGACCAAAAGCACCTAACAGATGCATTACTACTGCCTCAAAATAAACAGGATGCTTGAAGAAGCTCCACTAGAATGAAAACTTTCAGAGGGCAGGGATTTTTGTCAGCTTAGTGCACTGCTGAGTTCCTGGCATATGGAACAGTGCCTGTACATAGTAGGTGTTCAATAAATATTTGGTGAATGGGGCCGGGCGCTGTGGCTCACGCCTGTAATCCTAGCTCTTGGGAGGCCGAGGCGGGCGGATTGCTCAAGGTCAGGAGTTCAAAACCAGCCTGAGCAAGAGCGAGACCCCGTCTCTACTATAAACAAAAAGAAATTAATTGGCCAACTGATATATATATAAAAAATTAGCCGGGCATAGTGGCACATGCCTGTAGTCCCAGCTACTCGGGAGGCTGAGGCAGAAGGATCACTCGAGCCCAGGAGTTTGAGGTTGCTGTGAGCTAGGCTGACGCCACGGCACTCACTCTAGCCTGGACAACAAAGTGAGACTCTGTCTCAAAAAAAAAAAATAAAATAAAAAATAAATTTGGTGAATGAATAAAAAGAAATTTTAGGATCCCTGTTCTCCTACATCTTCTAACTACTACTCACCCCCTCAGGCTCTATCTCCTACAAAAGGAGTCCTTCTCTGCCTTATCTGAAACCTCCAAATCCCCTCTTGTCTTCTAAAACCTTGATTACAGCCTCCAGTTACATACAGTCATTGGACACTCCATTTTTCCACTGCAGCGTTTCTCATAGCTGTCCTTAATTACTTATTGATGTAATTATTTCCTTAATTAGTATCACTCCAATGGATTGTAAGCTCCATCAAAGCAGGGACTGGCTCTTGTTCATAGTTGTATCCTCAACCCCCAGCATAATACTTAGCACAGTGTAGGAACTCAAAAGAAATTTATTTCCAAGACGTTCAAATTCTATCTTGGCTCTACATCAAAACTTAAAACCCAATTTATAAATCAATCTTTTTGACATTTAGAATTTTGTAAGTTCCTTGAAGAACCAAGGAAGGTATTATTTATAAACTTCTCAATCACTTGGATGAGAGAGAGGCTTCTTCAAATTAAACTATGGTATTTGGGGGATTTCAAAAGCCCCAAGTAAATAATTCATAAGTAAAAGGAGAGAGTCCCTTAAGAAATCTGAGAATTGACTTGCAATGTTCTTCTTTGAAGGACCACTTTCGGCTTCCTGGTTTTGGAACACTCATGTTTGACATTATTTGCCAAATTAATTTTATACTTGCTTCATTCCTTACTGATTCTCTATAAAATTGTCACTACTGCCCACAAGCAGATTTTGCCAAACTAAAAAGTCTTTTTTACTTATTATATTGTCTACTCCATTACCATTCATTCATTTATAACACAGAATCAATTTGTTTAGTAAGAACTATATATGCCATTCAAATTGACACAACACTGATTACGCTGTGGGATCCTAAGTAGTATTTCATAAAAGAAAGGGAGGGGAGAGATAGAAGAAAAAAAAGGAATAAGAGTAAAGTAGCCACTTGGAAACTAGTTTCTACTACTTAAGGAAATGTCATCCAATTTTAAGAGTGCAAATGGTTTAGAATCATGGTGGGAAAAACCTTTTCCAGAACAGTAAATTATAGGTTTGGTGACAACATACATTCTTTACCTGCATTGTTCAATATGATAGCCATTAGCCATTCATGTAGCTATTTAAATTTGTATGAGTTAAAATACTACACTTGATCTTAGCCAAAAGACCAAGAAGCGATTGTGTGAGTTAAAATAAAACATTCAGTTCCTCCATAGTGCTAGTCACATTTCAAGTACTCGATAGCGACATATTGCTAGTGGCTATACTGTTGAACAGTGCAAATATAGAACATTCCCATCACTGCAGAAAGTTCTATTGGACAACGTGAGTCTATATGCTCCTACCAATAATTACTACCAATGGGTGACAGAAGCACTAGGATCACCAAGAAAAACATGCAAGTGGAGAAACAGCCATATTGTAAATGTAAGAGATCTCTCGCTGTATTCTTCTTGGGAACAAATTTCTTAAAGCATAATCCCTCCCCTATCCCTTTACTGAGTAATAGATTAAGAGCTTTTAAAATTTTTTCTTGGATTAAATAAGGGAGAAGTTGCTCCTATTCTCTGTTGAGTGATCTGGGCATTGCATGCAAACTTACAGTTTGGTCTCATCAGCCTCTTTCTGCATGATTTCAAGAATCATGCGGCATGCTTCAGAGGTTCCCTCTGGGGTGGCATGGATGGTAACAGGCTTCTCTGCAGCCCCAGAGTTCTCCTTTCTATGGATGTCTACCCTGCGGGAAAAGAATCAGGAGCCATAAGTACAACGTCATTTGGGATAAGACCCTAGTCCCAAGAAAGCATCACGCCAGCCAACGTACAGCAAGGATACAGACAAACAATGAAGTGTCATTAGCAGGTCTGCAACCAATGCCATTCTCCAAGAAGGAGGCAAGCAGTGCAAGGAGTCTTGTGCCAAACTGTAATTCTTTGCAGCTCCGTTTAGAAGGGAATGGTTCTTACAGGAGTGCTGTGGGACAAAGGCTCTAAGCCAACTTGGTAATGAAGCCAGTTTGGTAAATGAAGTATTTTGTGTAGCCTTTCAAATGATTGTAGAAGTGAAGAGTAAAGTGAGAAGGATAATACTGCACATTGGCACAGTGCCGGTCCCTGAACTGATTGCAGCTTTTAAAAGCCATATGTTAATCCAAATCCAAACACCAAATTCAAGCAAGTTTTATATATTTGAATGTGGATAGAAAACAGAGGCATGCCCTCTCTCTGGCTCTCTAAATTTTTGGTTTCCTTTCCATTGGCAGCCTGCCTTCTTCCAGGCTCTTAAAAGTAATGGCTCAAAAGCTTGATCACTTTATCAGACTCCTTCGGGTAGTTGTGGCCCTACTTGTTTTTGTTAACTTTCAAAATCACATAATTGATTATATCCCTTTTTTACTCTGGCTGTTAGAAAGCCCAGAGCTGAGTCTTTGGCCCACTTCTAAAAAATGGGTACATTTGAAAGCAACCTTCACTTCTATTTAAACTTGCTTTTTTTTTTCTCTTTTAAGTCATCTTAAACAATTTTTGGAACAAAAAGACATATAAGTAAAAGTCACTTTCACAGTGAAGCAAATTTGGAGGGAAAGACTGGGCTGGTTTTCAAATAAAGAGAATACCAGACAGTAACTTCCCTCTCTCCTATTTCATCACTTCACTCATAAGATTCTGTACTCTGGGACTCACTCATCCATATTTGTGTCTATTATTTGGGGATAACTATAAGATGGTTTGAAGGAAATAGCATTTTCTATTTCAGGTTACAAGACACTCAGTGACTGACCTAAATAAAATGCACTAGCACATGTAAATAACCAATATTTGTCAGTAATTTGTTGCTTTGCAATTTGAGTGCTTTCATATTAATTATTTCAGTCAATCTGCCTGACTGTACTAATTCTCACACTAAGCCTGGCAAAACAGTTAGGAACCTCTTCCCCCCTTTTTTTAACAGAAGAAGCAACTGATGCTCAGAGAGGTTAAAAGTTTTTTTCCAAGATCATATGGCCAATGAGTGGTAAAACTTGAACATGAGTCTTTGTTTGCACACCCTGTGCTTTCTTCATTACATCGTGCTATGGTCTCAGGAACATACAAAAATCAGCAACTCCATAAGTCATTTTATCTGCTAAAACTCCTATAACCAGTTTAGTCTTCTTAAACAGATAGCATACCAGGTCAGTGTACTTTATTTCCTGCTTGACATGACAGTGGCTCACCCACTTTTTTATTATGTAGCTCTTTGTGAGACTACCTAGGTGATCTCAAAGAACAGTGCCCCAGGGGTCTGATTCAGGGGAGGAGGTAAGAGCTCAGATGAGTGGGTTTTAGGATCCCACAGAGCCCTACACCTCTGCTCATTTAGGAATCCATGCATTCACAAAGTAGTTAGCATATGGCAACATCCTGGCTGTGAGGTCACCAGTACCCTCTTCGTGAACCTTTAGCCTCTCAAGGTATGACCATTAGGCCACTGGCATGAAAGCTCATCAAAGCCCCCAGCTTGACGTTATTCTGTTAGTAGTCCTGCTGAAAAAAGCCACTGTCCCTTATAGCATAGCCTCCCGCTGATATAAGCAATAGTGACCTGAAGGTGGCTGAGACCCACTAGCACGCAGGGGACCCCTCAGAAGGAAGCAAAGGAAGCCCCGGAGGCACGTACCGGGACTGGGTCTGCTTAGTGATGTTCTTTATGGTCAAGCCCTCCTTTCCGATGATGGCACCAACAAACTGGGTGGGGACCAGGATCCGCAGCGGGAAATCAATCTGTCTGGCCTGAGAAGAGCCCCCAGGGGCGTGGCCTTGCTCCCGGGAAGAGTGGTCCCCACGCTGGGCTCGCTGAGGGGGCGAAGGGGAGCTCACCTCTTCATCCGGGATGTAGGAAATCTTGAAAGAGTAGTTCTCAAACTGATGCCCGCTTAGCTTCTCGACGGCTCTGAAATGCAGCAAGGATGGGAGAGTTTTGTCAGAGAGCAACATCAAGAGAGACTGTCCTACAGACTAGTTCATTCGTTCTCATTTACCGGGCCTATGTAGATGCCATTCCAGTCACTGAGCATACAACAGTGAGCAAGACAGAAACCACTTCTGTTCTCTCAGAGCTTGCAGTTAACAATTAAACAAGTAATCCCAATGTATAGGCCTGGTCATACTTGAAATACAATTTTGCATTCTGCTTTTTTTCGCCACCCAAGGCTGTACCCCACACTTATCAAAAAACTCTTCATAAACATAGGTATAAAATTATGACTTTTTTCTCATTTTAATCATAATACAAATTATTGAAAATTCAGAAGATAAGTCCAAATCCATTTTATCTTTCCTGTCTTTCTCAAATACGATTGTTTATAAAAATGGATTTTATTGTACATATTGTTTTCTTATCCTTAAAAATAGCTAATACTCTAAACATGTTTCCATGTCATTAAATATCTTCCAATATAATTAATGGCTGTTTAACATTCTACTCATTTACAATAGTTTTTGCAACTGATCCTTTATCGTTGGATATATCTGTTTTGTCTAATCTTTTACAATTACATACAGCATTGCCATAGGCATCTTTGCAACTACAACTTTGCACACAGGACAAATTCCTAATAGAATTACTGGATCAGAAAGTATGCAAAGTCTATGGGCATACCACGCTGAACCCATCTGATCTCATCTGATCTCGGAAGCTAAGCAGGGTCAGGCCTGGTTAATAGTTGGAAAGGAGAAAGTATGCAGAATTCTAATATGACTGTTAAGTATTCCCAAATGGCCCTCTGGAAAGGATTCAATATTTACTATCCCACAGCAGTTTAGGAGAGCATTTGTGTCCTTGAATCTTCAAAAGAACAGAGTATTGTTATTTAAAAATATTTATCAATTTAATAGAGGATAAAGGATATCCCACTACTATATTTTAAAAACTATACATGAAGTAGAACAATTTTTCATGTTTACCAGCATTAAGCCAATTCTACTATGCTAACGTTTAGGGTCTGGGAATTTATTACAAAGCAGTACCTTTTGAATTCAATGAAGAAAACAGGGTATTATCATGTACAGAGGTCCACCTAAGCAGCAGCTGGATACCATTAAAGTGAGTGGTTGGTATTTCTCCTGCTTCAGTATGTGTGCAAAAGTTAACAGTAAAATAACTATTACCTTTTCAATGCAGAATTAACTTTCTGAAAACTAGTGGTATGAGAATGGGTTAAATATATCTTTATGTGTGTTGAAACCTTGAAAAAGAAATATAACTATAATCCTAGGATATATAACCAAGCTATGCCACTTTCATAAAGCATGACCACATGGGACCATGATTCTAGTTATGGTGACCTGACGGGTACTTCAGTGACCTCCTACAAAGAAAGCAACTATCTCGCCTGGGCTGGAGTGCAATGGCGTCATCATAGTTCACTACAACCTAACTCCTGGGCTCAAGCAATCCTCCTGCCTCAGCTTTATAAGTAGGTGAGACTACAGGTGCCTGCCACCATGCCTGGCTAATTTAAAAAATTTTGTGTACAGATGAGTTCTTGCTATGTTGTCTAGGCTGGTCTCACACTCCTAGTCTCAAATGATCCTCCTGCCTCAGCCTCCCACAGTGCTGGGATTACAGGCATGAGCCACTGCACCTGGCCTTGTTGTTTTTTTAAAAAACTCAAATCTCATGTTCATTAATAGCTAAGCTCAGCCGGGCGTGGTGGCTCACGCCTGTAATCCTAGCACTTTGGGAGGCCGAGGCGGGCGGATTGCTCAAGGTCAGGAGTTCGAAACCAGCCTGAGCGAGACCCCGTCTCTACCAAAAATAGAAATAAATTAATTGACCAACTAAAAATATATATACAAAAAATTAGCCGGGTATGGTGGCGCATGCCTGTAGTCCCAGCTACTCAGGAGGCTGAGGCAGTAGGATCGCTGAGCCCAGGAGTTTGAGGTTGCTGTGAGCCAGGCTGACGCCACGGCACTCACTCTAGCCTGGGCAACAAAGTGAGACTCTGTCTCAAAAAAAAAAAAAAAAATAGCTAAGCTCAAATTAACTATCATTGAAACAATGTAGTAATGAATGGGCATTGGGAAAAGAATAGGGGTAAAAGAAACCAAACCAGGTGTTACTGATTAACTAACTATTTCCAGACAATTTTCTCTGCTGCTGTCATCACTGAGGTGGATCTCCCTTTTAATATTACATAGAGGAAAAACTGATGTTTCAGCATGGGTTTGTGCTTCTTTGTCATGGTGCATGGAGGAAACTCCAGGTAAAAGTGGCCCCAAGTGGTTGGCAAAGCAGAGCCTAGTGGACACAGTGTCACAGAGCTGGTGCCCTCTATTCCTGATCATGTCAAGACATGGTTCCCCCCTTGGTTTTGATGGCAAGGCTCAACATTTTTCACAATCAAGTCTGTACAAATCAACAAACATCCTGGTATGAATGTCCTGGAGCTCCACTGACATGTCAAAGGTGGCAAGAATACTCTGGAACTATACCAACACGTCAACGGTGGTTCAGAGGCTGTGGAGCTGCATCAGTATGTCAAAGGTGGCATATGTAGGACTCTACTGATTCCTATCTTTTCAGAAAAGATTTATAGATACAGGACTCAATGAAGTTCAAAGACAAAACCAAAATAAACTTAAAAGGAAATAAGCCCTAATCCACTTACATTTTTGCTTCTTCTCTTGTTGCATATGTGACGTTGACAACAGCAGTTTCTGTGTCTGTGTTGACTAGGGAAAAAGCAAAAACTACATTGTCATAGAAGAAAAAGCTGTCACTCTCTGGCTTAAGGTAAACAGATGAACTTTAGAGAAAAATACACAGAAAACCTCATCACCCTAGCTCTACAGTTATTTGCATCTCTGTGTTTATTCATGTGTATTCATGATAATTTGTAATCAAATATATATAACACATTTGTAATCTATTATATATATAACTCAGAACTATATTTTTCACTTATTTTATAAATACTTGTGCATGAATATATGTACATGGACATATTCTTTGTATTTCTCATTTCTAATGTCTACATAAAATTTAGTGAGTTGAATATGTCATGATTTGCCTAACCATTCCCCAATTGTTGGCAAATAGGTTGTTTCCAGGATTTGTTATTCCAAACAGCATTGCTAAAAATCACCTTTGCTGCAAACATCACTTGATTTTGTGGTCTTCTGAATTACTTCTTTATGCTAAAATCACAGAAGAGAATTAACCAGGTAAAAGAACATGATGTTTTTTAATGTGCATTTTCAGATTGTTTTTCTAGAGGTTTGGATCAATTTATTATACCACAAATCAAGGTATGAGTTTTAGTTGTTACGCTTTGTGTTTATTTTAAATAATTGGATATATATATAAGAAAATGTTTAAGTTTAATTTTTCATTTGTTGACAAGGTTGAACGATCACTATTTTTGCACTAAACTCTTTGACTATGTGAATTAAATTTAGTAACTGTGCACACTCAATAAGGAAAACTGACAATTCTCACTCACTTGGCTAAAGGAGAAAACATACTAACTCTAAGACTGGCTAATAAGGGATTACTCTAGTGAGTTGGCTTATCTTGGTTCACAATTGCTTGCCTCTTCTTCCCAGTTGGAAATTAAAAGTAAATTCAAAAGGGAAGATAAAACTTTCTCAATGCTTTTCCCTAAAAAAACAGATGCGACTAGATCAAATCCTCCCTTTAAAACATTTAAGCTGTTGGGAGATTTGGAGTTAACAACATTAAGAATAATTTAAGAAAATCATGATAAAGCTGTTTTTCAAAGTAATAATAAAACTCTATAATGCAGGGATTCTTAACCTTGGATTCATGCTTGGGCTTCAGGAATTCTATAAATACCCTGCCCTTCCCAAATGATTCAAATGTGTGGAAATGTGAGTTTTTCTGGTTTATAATTTCTGTAAGATTCTTAAAGGGGCCTGGGCCCACAAAAAGGTTGAAGACCGCTGTTAAAAATATTGTTTGTCCAATAACTTCAAAGTAGCTGCAGCCTTTTGGGGTAGGTGGGGGTAAGGGAGTGCATAATCCTCAGGAAGAACTTCCATTGAGAGCTACATGCCATAAACACTGAGCCCAGCCCTGTCCTTTGCCCAGGAGTGTTCATATTGCCCTCTAATTCACACTTACCCAGAGTCCGCACAGTGCAAAACAGGGGATGTGCAGCCCCAAACTGTCCTCTGTCAGTGCTGACACATAGAATGCTACTGAGGTTTCATATTTGCTGCTTTCTAGTGCTACAGATGAGACTCCCAGAAAGGGCTGGGTTTAACCTCCTGAATAAAGCTATCCACTAAGATTCTCAGATTTTGTTCACACTTCTTAGTCATATTCTCTGTTCTTCCAAGACGTTTGTCTTCAGGAAATCAGGAAGTTCTTTGATTCTGGAATGAGCTGAGCTCCATTCAAACAATTTATTTCATTGGACTGAAAGTTCTATAAAGTGTCCTAAAACTCTACTGAGAATGTTTTCCTGCTGAATCAGGAATCCCCCCTGAAACAGGACAAAACAATAGCTCAACAGTTCTATCCTGTAAGTTGTGAGGCAGCTGGAAACTGGACGGTCTCCAAGGGCATAGGTGCCCCAGGAGCTGTAAACCGTCCCAGGGACCTGGAATACTTCTTCTTTTAGTAGCATTGTCCTGAATTTATAACATGGTCTTAGTAATTTTTACAGGTTCATGGTAAGGCCATCTGGGCTACTAGATCCAATCATTAGAATGTCTTCTTTTCCATGTTGAGGGAAATAAGAACTGAGAAACAGAATCCTTGTAAATCATGTCTTCCTCTGAGCTCTTGCCCTTCACCTTTGGGCATGAGCAGGCAGCAGCATGAAATGAATAATAATATTTTTAATATTCATGGAGTGGAGAACATCTGAATAATTACTGCTTTAAAACTATTATATTAATTATCCTGGCAGATAGAATAGATCACATGTGAGAAAATGAGTTCGCTACAATTTTTCCTAAGTGAACCTTAATCCCTTAAGATGATGTATGACTCCACTGTCTAGAAATACCTTATACAGGTTCTCTTTGTGTAGACAGAGAAAGAATGGATTATTCTCCCTATTTTACATATGTGGACACTGAGCCAGTGAAGCTGAGTGACTTTCTGAAGGGCTCATAGTCAGTGAGGGACTGAATTTACATTCTGCTTTCCTGTATTTACATTCTGTAAATAGCAGAATTTACATTTCTGCTATTTTGTCCAAGGCAAAAATAATCTTTATCACGTTACTGCCTGTCACATCAGGAGCTTGGAATCTACTTTTCCAGGACTCTTAAAGAGCGACATAAGATATCAGCTTGAGGTATCTTTTTTTTTCCTTTTAAAAATCATAGGTTTTCATACTTTAGAAGATAAAAATGAGGGTGGCAGGAAGAAAAGTATTTTCTGGGTATTTGCAGCACTGCTCCTAAGACAGTGGTTCTCAAACTTGAATGCACATAAAAATCACTTTGGGGTGCTTGTTTGAAATACAGATTCATGAGCTCCTCCCTCAAAGACTCTTACCCAGTAGGTATATGGAGAGTCCTAGGAATCTGCATTATCACAAGCACGCAAAGGGATTTTTGCTGTAAGAGTCCTTCTCCTTGGGAAACAGTCAAAGACATGAGGATATGTTTTTCTTATCTAGGAAAAGGAAAGGAGCAAGAATGTAAATACAGTTACTCCTAGTGAATTAAGCTTAGCCCCCCCAGCCTGATAGTGTTTGTCCAGTGCTTGAGCACATTGCAGGGTATAAGAAAAATAGCCTGAAAATCATATTCCTTAAAATAATAAACTATATAGATATACATAGAAAGATATAGAGTTCTCTTACATGTAGATATACAAACATACAGTTTAGGAAGCTTGTTTCAAAGGAATATGAATTTACTATTTCTCCCTGGAGTTGCCCCAGCCTATAAGAAATAACAGGTAGTATCTTTCTTTAAAGCTCAATATAGTAATTTCCTCACTTATTACCTTGTTCCACATTCTCCACTGTCCCATACTGAGCCAAAAGTCCATCTAAAACCTGAAAGAGAAAGCTTCAATGTCAGAATAGGAAGATAAGATCATACTCATAAAAAATGATATAGTAATATGCCCCAGGAAATGAATTAAAACAACAACAACAACAAAAAACAACAGTTATAGGAATAATCTAATTACATTGATATTTCACGTCTTCCATAAAAACAGTTAGAACTGAATAAATATATGGGACTCTTTCATTTGCTTATTGGCTCCCATGTAATCTGTTCATTAAGGTGGTACAGCAGAATTTCAGAGTCTTAGTAACTGTTAACAAGCACAGTTATCATCATGGTTGGAACTCACTTATTGCTCTTCAAATGAGGATCAGGATAAAGTGGCTCACTTCTCCTTACTGAAAGATTTAACAATTCATCCTTCAGTTTTCTTCCCAGGGATTTCTTTATTTTACAAAGTAATGGGATGTATATGCTTGAAATTTACCATAATAAAAAGCTTTAAAATAAGTAACAAAAGTGTTAGACAAAACATTGTTTCCTTTAAGGCTATTTTGATTTTCTTTGGGTTGGGGAAGAAAATACCAGGCAGTTTATTTTTACCCATATTTTTATTTTAAGGTAGCAATATTATAAGTTTTACAACTCTGAAAATACATCTTAGCTATTACTCATAGAAACTAATTCAAAACAAACAAAAAATCTGTTCAAACCAACAAAGAACTTTCTATTTTATTGGTTTTTCACTGATTTTTTTAAAAATCATGATTCAGAAAGATATAGATAATTTTTAAAATCATGAGATGAAAATCATGAACAAGGTATGCGTTTTGTTTCACAGCTTGTTTGTTGGTGCTTCGGAGTGTGGTACTTGACAAGACAAAACATGAGAGATCAAAGTGTACATTCTCTAGGATGAAAGGAACAAAGATGACCCCAAACTCATGACAGATCGTGGACATTAGAGTACTAAAAAAGGAAGAGACAGGACCCAGGAGATTTGTGTAAAAGTCTGAGGGATGTCTAATTCCTAAGTGGAAAAGGGAACTAAAAAAGGGAGAAAGTGTCTTGTCAACCCATTAAAAAGTGACAGTGGCTTACCTCCCACTGCAGGTGAGGAGGGATGTTTCGAATCTGAATTTTCCTGCTCCTGTAAAGATAAAACCACAGACTATGACACTTTTCTCTAGGACACAAACTTCAACAAAGAATAAAAACAGGCTTAAGATCATGATTTGAGTTTATTTTCTCACTGTCTTCACCAGGGAATCAAGAAAAGATTTCTCCTACTGTGAATCTTTTCACAAGAGCATCCTGTTTTAAGGTTTTCAATTAGGCCAGGCATGGTGGCTCACGCCTGTAGTCCTAGCACTCTGGGAGGCCAAGGCGGTGGATTGCTCGAGGTCAGGAGTTCGAAACCAGCCTGAGCAAGAGCGGGACCCCGTCTCTACTATAAATAGAAAGAAATTAATTGGCTAACTAATATATATAGAAAAAATTAGCTGGGCTTGGTGGCGCATGCCTGTAGTTCCAGCTATTTGGGAGTCTGAGGCAGGAGGATCGCTTGAGCCCAGGAGTTTGAGGTTGCTGTGAGCTAGGCTGATGCCACAGCACTCACTCTAGCCTGGGCAACAAAACGAGACTCTGTCTCAAAAAAAAAAAAAAAAAAAAAAAAAAAGTTTCAAATAAAATGAAAAAAAAACAAAAAAACAAATTCAAGAAATCCTAACAAGCTAAAATAGTTTAAATACAGTTTTGCCTTTTCAATATCCTATCAAAGTAGTTAGAATTTAAATCGCCATACAGATTCTATCTATAGCATTAGCCCCTTCACCCTCAAAATATATTGACCCTATCCCAAAGGGTACCTATTTTAATGGGTTGCCAGAGGAGAGATTTGGTGGCCACAGTGTACACCTAATTCCTTCTTCTTTCCTTCTAGGGTCAGAGGTACTAAACAGTGGCTACACACAGCCACATGTTTCTCCACGGCTCTAACATGGGCAATAGCCCCAGAAAGGAATGTCACAATTCAAGCAGAGAAAGAAAAGCAGAGAGAGCTAGAGAGATAGAAGAAATGGAGAAAAAGACAATGAAGTAAATGAGAGGCTACAGGTTTCTTAGCTCTTTTTTATTAAATGCAAGGGGGGCCACCCCTCTTGTCTCAAATTCCTGGCTTCAAACAATCCGCCTGCTTTAACCTCCCAAAGCACTGGGATTACAGGAATGAGTCACTGTACTGAGCTGAGGGTCACCATTCTGTACTCATTCCAATACACTACTTTTGCCTTATTTTTTAAAAAATGTGAATGTATTCAGTCTGAACAAACATAAATACTGTAGCACTATTTATAATGGATAGAGATTGCAGACAATCTAAGTATTCACCAACATGACATGAGTACACATATCATAATAGAGCTGTAATATAGTATATTATACAACTGTTAAAAATAATGTAGACATATGTGCACTATTACAGGAAACTCTCCAAGGCATGCTGTTACAAGAAGAGAGCTAATTACAGATGAAGTTGGTTCTGTTTTTTAAAAGCTACATGTTATTCAATGTGTGTATATGTAAATACATGGGGAAAGGTAGCTATAAGCAGATTTGGTCAGTAAAACAGCACATTTTCATTTTAGCTACTTCTGTCTTATTAGCTTTTTTTAAAAATGAGGTTGTATTTGTTTTGTTTTACTTGCTTTTAAAAACTAACAATTAAAACTTGTACTAGGGCCGGGCGCAGTGGCTCACACCTGTAATCCTACCACTCTGGGAAGCCAAGGTGGGCGGAACGTTTGAGCTCAGGAGTTCGAGACCAGCCTGAGCAAGAGTGAGACCCCCGTCTCTACTATAAATAGAAAGAAATCAGCCAAACAACTAAAAATATATAGAAAAAATTAGCCAGGCATGGTGGTGTATGCCTGTAGTACCAGCTACTTGGGAGGCTGAGGCAGGAGGATTGCTTGAGCCCAGGAGTTTGAGGTTGCTGTGAGCCAGGCCGACGCCACGGCACTCACTCTAGCCTGGGCAACAAAACGAGACTCTGTCTCAAAAAAAAAAAAAAAACTTGTACTAGGGTTGCTTTAATGAATATATATATATATATTTTTAAGTATACTGGAAGTAAAAAAAATAAAAAAAAACACCTCACTTTTTAGCTTAGGTATTCTCAAATTCTTACCTAACAGACTATTAATTTATTTGGCAAACCTTTCATTTCTAGTGCAGAAGTAGAGAAACTGCCCAGTGCTGAGTACCCTGAATGCAAATCGAATGGGTCTAAAACAGTAACGTTTGCCTGTACTAGTTCACATGAAGACTGCACATCAGGCAATCAGTTCAGTAACTGGAACCTTTGTTAAGCAGGACACTGGGAGGAGTAATCTCTAAAAAGCTAGTCTGTAGCACCTCTAATCTTAGATCAGGATGGCAAGGAAGAAAAAGAACTGAGAACTAAAAAAGAGAAATAGAGATATCTATCTATGGTAGAACCAATTAAACTGGAGCTCTCAGGTCATTTGGGGGACTACTCTGAGAGATTATCTTTCATGGTCAGGGTCAACCTGGGTAGATGCCTTCTGGTCAGGGTAACCAGGATGCCCGTCCCCTTCTTCCCCAGGAGAGACTTCTGCATGCCCTTTAAACCCAGCTCACACACAATCCCTGCAGAGCTGTCTGGAACATCTCCAGGCAGAATTATTTCTTCCACACTCTTCCACGTTTCTAACAGCTCACTCTTTGCTATAATTATTTATCTGCTGGTGCTGTCCTTCCCCCCACCATGCTGATTTCCCCAAGGACAGTTCCTTGTTTACTATTCTACGATCTAGCATGGGGTCAAGTACATAGTAGAAAAGGAGAATTTGAAACCCTGGGGCTGAGGAAAGCACTCAGGCTACTGGCAGTGGTCTGTTCATGATGAGGACACTCCCAACCCCACCTAGGAAAATGAATTGTCTATTTCTCCTTGTCAGGTAGTCAAGAGGAGATGGAAGGGGGGTTCTTTTCCCTCTTTCCTTTAGACAGGAAATCCAGTGTTTGGCTGAGTCTCAAATGAGAAAATGCATCTTTCCCCCTTTGAAATCCATGACTGTGCCTTGCTTTAAAAAAGCCAAACACACAGTAACTTAGAAAAGTGATATAATAATTCTTTGTCCCTTAAAAATTTTTTTCACAGTTCCTTTATGTTAAAAATGAAATCACACTTCTCTAAATACATGTAAAAGGCACTTCTCATCCTTGCTGCCATAGAACTATCACAGCAGTCTCCCAGCTGACCTCTCCGTCTTGTCCTGCGCCTCCTCCTCTTCCACCCAGCCCTCATCCGCTGCCAGTGACCCTCAAACACAGACAGACTGGTTACTCTCGCCTACCTTGACTGACATCCCTTCCTGGCCCCGTCGCTGCCCTCATCTCATCTCTCTCTCTTTCAATACTCCTGCCACACCAACATCCTCGCCTGTAGTTTACAAGTGTGCCCGGCTGAGCCTTCAACACACTCAGTCCACCTTCAATTCACACAAGAGTAAAAAGGACAGCAGAGTAAGGCTTTATTATTATTATTGTTGTTGTTGTTGTTGTTGTTATTTTCATTTTAACTGAAAGCAGAATAAGACCTGAAGTCAAGCAGAGGCTGCTCTTTATTACAAATGCATAGGCTCCTTCCCTGGGGCTTTGGAATTCAGGAACTCAGAATTTCCCACTCTCATATTCCAGTAAACTAAGCATTTCAGGTGGAAAGGGCCACCTACTAGGAAAAGGGTACCGCAGCTATACAGCCTATCCTGCTTGGCTGGGGAATCAGTTAAACTTGCCAGTTTAACTGATTCAATATTCTGGTTAATTGGTGATTATAGTATACATGTCTGGACTACCACATTGTAAGGAGCTATAAAACAAAATATACATAATCCCAGATCAGCTACTAATTTAGTTGATTTCCAAGGACTTTCAACATATAAATGCCTCAAGGTACTTTTTATAAATATGTTATTATTTTTGTACTGTAGATGCCCAGAGGTAATAGAAGGTTCCAATTGAGTGAATTTCAGAGAAACTAAATGTCCATTGTTATAAATTTCAAGGGTCTAGCAAAAGTTATTTTGTCATGGTAGAATTTGTTACTTAAAGTAAGTGGGCAATCAGCTGAGGAAATAAAATCATATTTAATAATAAGGAATCTGTAAAACTGAAGAACCATTTCATCTGTATTGTATTTTTTAAAAAAAGTAAAACACTTGCTGGTATGTGAGGAGGAGAATGCTGTAGTTTTCAGGCATATCAGTCAATCAGCTGTAAGCTGATCAGCCACCTTGGGAACTCTAACCCCAGCTCTGACCAAGCTGTGGGCTTGAACAGAGAACTAGTTAACATGAATCGTGAGAACCCATCTTGTAGGACTGCAGGTTCCATTTGAAAACTAAGTCAGCTAGGATCTAGGGAATTCTCAAGTAAATTAAGGGCAAGAGAAGCAGCGGAGGAAGCAAAGGAGCCCTGGGAGAGTCCTTTGGAGTTCAATGAGGGATTTTATCTAACTAGATCCTATCTATTTCCACAGCAACTCTGGGCTCCATTAGATGACACAAGGTCCTCATCCTGGAGGGAAATTAGAGGGAGGGAACCAGTGTTATCCATAAAGAGAGGCAGGTGGCAGAGCTGGGGTGGAAACCACCAGAGCTCTTAGCTCTACACCACTTTAGTGCTATAGTCAGATTTCACTCCATCCCATGCACTCATTAGTGCTTGAGGCACTTTATCTGTTTCCCATTCCTCATTAGTTTTGAAAGTTCCCCTTAAAACTTCTGGACATTCTGTGCAAGGGACATTCTGTGCTAAATTGATCTAGGACCTAGGGCTGCTCAAGGAAGCAAATAAGACACCAGTGATAGCCAAGTCCAATCTTCTACCCATCTGTCTCTTAAACTTTGTGTTCTCTCTCTCTCTCTCCTCTCACACACACAACACACACACACACACACACACAACACACACACACGAGGATCACTGAGTCAATGAAAAAACATTTAATCTTGTTGCAAAATGATTACAAACAATTCCCTCTGCCTCTATGGAATCCAAAATAAATGTATTATATTAGTTGTTAGGAAACTAAATATGTTTGACATAAAGTGTTGAAAAATGAAC